GTCCCGGTCTGGTACGGGCGCGACACTGAGGGTTGCGATCCGTTGCCGGTCACGAAAAAAGACAAAAAGGAAAAAGAAAAAGAAAAAGCTATTTTCTCCTCCCCTACAATGGGTTCCAATTCTGTCTTGACAAATACAATCCACATTTATAGTTGAACCCAGTTAATTCTGGCCTCTCTCCTATTTTCTCCTCCCCTACAATGGGTTCCAATTATTCTGTCTTGACAAATACAATCCACATTTATAGTTGAACCCAGTTAATTCTGGCCTCTCTCTGCTTAGAGTTTTCCCTGGAAGTTATTGAAAGAAAAGAAGTTTCTTTCATCCAGTTAGTAAGAAAGCAAGTGGTAAACTAGCGCCTAACCCCTCTCGCTCCCCGTGTAGGGAAAGCAACTTCAAACGTTAACTCAGCCAGTGCCTTCTAGTAACTGACAGTACATTGAAGAAGAGATTGTATGTACAAAACCACCCTTGACAGAGGAAAGCACTAATAATTTATCCTGGTCTTGTCCTGACTTACCTCCTCTATTAAAAAACTCAGACATTCTGTGCATAATTTTACATAATTTTTTTTACAGCCCGTTCAATGATAAGGAATTCTTTTGAGAAAGCATTTTCATGCCAAAGGCCCCTCTATTTACCTTATTTTAGGGCATGATCAAGTAACCTGTTGTCTTACCGATGTTTGTAATTTGTCAGAATAGAATTCTGAGGTTGCCAGTGATATTTATGTGGACTTTTACATGGGATCCACACAGTATCTGACAGTGTGACAGAAAAGAAAACATAACTGGACTCACCTGACTTTGTACCTCCCAGGGCTTGGTTATAGCAGACAAGTCACATGCAGTCATCATCATTGCCCTTAGGAAGAAAACGAAAATTGTTAAAATAGAAAGAAATACAAAATAAGTTATTTTTGCCAAAAGAGAAATAAGATTCTGACTACCCACATGATAATCTCTTTTTTGGTTGTATCAGTGGTTACATACTTGACAGCCTCTTCTTCAGTTTTCATTTGTGCACAGGCATCAACAATCTTTTGAAACATGGTTCTCTTCCTAGAAAAGATATAGCTGTGCAACAGTTTTAGCATATAAAATCAGAGAGGAAAGATACCTTAAATACACGGTTTTCAGATTTTGTGTTCCCACTTTGCATTGGGATGTAAAGTACATAGCAAAGTCTAAGGGGCCAAAGGATAAGGGAATAGGGAATAGCTATAGAACTTTGGCATAGAAAGGGCTTAAAACAGAAAAAGCACAAGCCATAGAGGGGGGAAACCAGGTAAGTTTGTATACATTAAAAGTTACTTATGAGAAAAGAGATCATAAACAGAAAGGCCACCGACTGTGATATCACAACACATAAAACCAACAAAAAATTAGATCCCAAAATATATGGATGCTTGCTCTCACTGGTCATCAAGAAGATACACTCATTAGATTAGCAAAATAAATTTTAAATGTGCCCAGATCAAAGATATTCCAGATACAAGATAACAGGAACCCTTGAATACTGCTGGTGGGAGTGTAAATTGGCACAACTACTCAGGAGTGCAGTTTTGCAATGTGGTATAAAACTGAAGATACGCAAACCCTATAGCATTCCCATTTCCAGGTGTGTACCTAAGAGAAACTCTCCTACATGTATAAGGATATACAATTTAGCATTGTAGGCAATGATGAAAAACTGGAAACAATCTAAATGTCCCTGAATAGAGAAATAAGTAAATTAATTGTGATGTACTCAACAGGTGAATACTCTGTACAGTTAAAAGGCATGAAATGGATCTCCATTTATTACAAAGAATAAATCTTTAAAACACAATGTTGTGTGAAAAAAGCAAGTTGCAGAAAGGTATGTACAGACAGTTTGATACCATTTATGGAAAAATTTAAAACACGCTTATTACCATACAAAACATGGATGGAAAAGATGAATGCACATCATCATCAGATGGTAATATTTTTAAGGGAGAAGAGAAGGGATTTTCACAGCAGGGTAGAGATGGAATGCCTCAATTTCATCACTAATCTTTTTTTCTCCTTAAAAATAATCTGAGGCAAGTGTGGCGAAATTTAGCATTTATTGGGATTATGCCCAACTAAAAAGCTTCTGCACAGCAAAAGAAACAATAAACAGAGCCATAAGACCAGAAAGGGAGAAAATATTCACAAACTATACATCTGACAAGGGATTAATATCCAGAATATAAAAGGAACTCAAACAACTTAACAGTAAAAAAACAAGTAACCCCATTAAAAAATGGGCAAAGGTGCTGAGTAGGTATTTCTCAAAGGAAGATATACAAATGGCCAAAAGACATGAAAAAATGTTCAACATCACTAAGCGTCAGGGAAATGCAAATCAAAAACCATGTTGAGATATCATCTCATGTCAGTTAAACTGGCTACTGTCAAAAAGACAGAGAATAAAAAATGCTGGAGAGGATGTGGAGAAAGGGGAACCTTCCTACACTGTTGGTGGGATTATTAATTAGTGCAGCCATTATAAAAAACAGTATGGAGGTTCCTCAAACAACTACAGATAGAACTGCCATACGATCCAGCAATCCCACTGCTGAGTATGTACCCAAAGGAATGGAAATCATCATGTTGAAGGGATATCTGCACCCCCGTGTTTACTGCAGCTCTATTTATAATAGGTGAGAGTTGGAACCACTTAAATGTCCATCGACCTACAACTGGATAAGGAAGATGTGATAAAAAGGAATGAAATTCTGCCATTCATACCAACATGGATGAACTTATAGAAAATTATGTTAAGTGAAATAAGCCAGGCACAGAAAGAGAAATACCACATGTCCTCACTCATAAGTGATTAAAAAAATGAAACAAAACAAACAGACAAAAAAAGATACAACGATCACAATAATTCCTTGAACTTTCAAAAGGAGAGAACAGAACTCAGACCACCAGAGGTGGGAAAGGGCGCAGGGGAGAAAGGGTTAAGGAGAAATTGGTAAAGGGCCATAAAAAATGTTTATATTATGTAATGATAAAATAAAACAGAAACAAAAATTTAAAAAATTAAAAAACAAAATTTAGCATTTGTTGAATCTGGGTTATATATATATGGATGTTTATTATATTATTCTAAGTATTTGCCTTCATGTTTGAACTATTTAATAATTAAATTTTTTAATCGAGATGGATCAGAAAGGCATAATTTGACAATGCCCAAGTCACTGAATATTTGGATTCTCTAGCTAGTTTACTTTGTTCTAATCCATTTTCACCAAGTAACTTTATGCTTACAAAAAAATGTGAAAAATACATGAAGTGTCTGGTCTCCTTGGCCATATTATTATTATTGTAAATGGACTGGCACTCTGTAGCATATAACTTAGTTTTGCATTCAGCTTCCAGGCAGGATCAAAATTGTGAGCTTGAAACACTAATTACCAGATTCTGGACCAATTTGAATTCACCAGGACAAAAAGCCACCTTGTAAGGTTTCTTGGCATGACTCTTCCATCAGTGCACAAACTCCACTGCATATTCTTCCACACAGTCTTCTTCAGATAACAAACTACATAACAGTAGGGGCTTTAGTTTTTAAAATGTTTCCAGATGTCTAGTAAATTCACTGTCAGGCAGCAATCTTGAGGGTATTCTAATTGATAATCCAAAAGGAAAACAAACGTGTGTGTGTATGTGTGAGTAAATGTCTTCTAACTTTAATGCAACAGATAATTTTTGGCACAGATAATATAACAGATAATTTTTGAACCACACAGAGTATAAGGGCATTCTGTTGTGCAGAGTTATGTACTTACTTGAAATATAAAGCCAGGTCAGTTGCTATTATTGCAACCTCAAACAAATGAATAACTGTTTCAAACTGCCGCTTATTTAGATTCTGGAAAATGTTTAAACTCTGTAAGATGAAAATTCACAAAAAGGTGCAATCATTAATTTGCCTTTAATTCAACAAACAGACATACCAAACCATGCTTAATGACAAGAAAATCTAGGTCATTCGACACTTTATTTGCTTTCAGTTTTTTTTTTTTTTCCTTTTTGTCTTTTTTTTGTGACCGGCAACAGATCGCAACCCTCAGTGTTGCTCCCGCACCTCGCTCAGCCAGTGAGCGGGAACCGGTCTGTATGTGGGATCCGAACCCTCGGCGGGAGCGCCGCCGCACTTCCCAAGCGGCGCACTGTAGCAGTGCGCCACCGGGCTGGCCCTCAGTTTTTAACTCATGGATTCGATAAACCCCTCTACTGTACTTTGAGTAAGATAATTTAATTTAAACTATAAAAGTAGATACTGTTAGCAAATGTTCAAGTAATTGATCTTTAAGATTTCGGAATAAATAAAAGTGTTTTCTTCCAGGAAAAAAAATAATAGCTTCCATTAAAAAAAAATAGCTTAAAAATTTGCTTGCAATTACTTGAGAAACTTCAATAAATAGATAATTTCTGGGAGATGTCCAATTGTTAGACATGTTGCATTATCCACCAGGTAATTTCAAAGTGATCAGAGAAACCATTGGTCTTTCAGAAACTGAAAATTACCCTAGTACTCATGTATATGTAGGAAAAATAATGAAATCCTCTCATGTTATCCTTAAGTGTTTTCTTGCAATTATATTTTGCAAAGATTTAACTAGACCTTTCTTCAAAGGGTTTCTCATTATTAATCTCTTCACATATGGATCAGCTTCATTTCTTAGTGTTCTAGAAAATGAGAGGAGAAAAAGCTGAGAGTTGTTTTAAAAGCTCTGATTTTCCACATAGACCATTTTAGTTATACAGGCCAAAAGACAGACGTATCGTAGTTCTGCCAAATGAAGTTGAAAGTTACAAAATAGAGAAAAATTCCACAGGAAAGAAAGAGGAGATAGCCTATTAACCTTTGTACAGATAGAGGTAGCATAATGTGGAAAGAATACTGAACTAAGCACCAAATAATAATAGCAAACATTTGCTTAGTTCTTACAGGTTCTAAGTGCTTTATGAATGCTCTAATCCCCTCACAACAAACCATAGCACAGAGAGGTTAAGTAACTTGCTCAAGGTTAAACAGCTAGCATGTGACAAAACTTGTATGTAGACCAAAGCAGCATGGCTACAGTCTGTGCTCTTAATCTCTGCACTACACTACCTCTCAACAAGGTGCCCAGGTTCAGTTCCTGGTTTCACCACTTGGTAGTTGTATAATCCTGGATATTTCACTTAACATCTTGAGTATATGTTTTCTCAAATGGAGATAAATAACAGCTGCCCTGCCTAACTGCCTAGCACTTTGTCTATGCTCAGTAAACATTTGTGGAATGTTGAATAAAATGAACTGAGAATGCATTTCAAAACTGCAATTTGCTATAAAATTTAGTTATTGCTGTATTATTTTTATTGTTACGTAAAGTTTTTTTTTTTTTTGTCCTTTTTGAGACCGGCTGCACCGCACTCAGCCAGTGAGCGCTGTGAGCACACCGATCATCCCTATATAGGATCCGAACCCGCGGCGGGAGCACTGCTGTGCTCCCAGTGCTGCACTCTCCCGAGTGCGCCATGGGCTCGGCCCATTACGTAAAGTTTTGAGGCTAGCTCTAGGTTAAAATAAAATTGCAAACTGAAGACCAAATATGGCTCTCAGTTATTCCAGGAGATTGAAATATTAGAAAGCAATAATTGAACAACAGCTCAAGTTTTAGACACTATACTATGCATTATATAAATCTTCACTTAAGTCATCTTTTTGTTTGTTTGTTTGTTTGGCAGCTGGCTGTAGAGAGATTGAACTCTGGACCTTGGTGTTATTAGCACCACACTGTAACCAACTGAGCTAACTGGCCAGCCCTTAAGGCTTTTTAGAACATCTTCTAGGACAAGAAAAATGGTATTATACAAAGCATATATAAGTAATATAAAGGAAAGCTATGATTTGTTTTGCTAAAATAGTGAATTCACCATAGCAACTATAGCTAGCCTTTTTAAATTGGTAGAATGAAGCAAGGGCTGTTGAATACTCCAAATTACAATCAACAAAAAGATTGTCTGGGTCAAAATCAATTTCTTACTTGGGACAGTTCACAGGAGCTCATGGGGCATATCTCTCCAGAATCTTTCAACCAAATCTTCTGGATACAAGTTAATTTCAACCAGGTCTGGATTGGCCAGGAAAGGAGAAATTAAGTGGGGCATTTATCATTTTAATTCCACTTAATCTGCCCCTTATGTTGGTATGGTGGTGGTAGTGATCCAGTGGCATATTTTCATCAACGAATCATGCCTTTATTTGTTCAATGACGTACATTGCTTGCTCCAAAAATAACATGTATTACATGACTTAGACACACACTTTGCAGATTTAATAACATGTAAAGCCAACCTTCATTGCTGTACTAGGAAAAATAGTAGGAGCAGGGGATGGAGAATGTGTGAAAATGTCTTAAACTTTTAGACAAATTAATATTTGTAGCACATGAAACAGACTGCTGAATTCAAAGACAGTGCCTTCCTCGTCTTTACCAGGCGTCAGATTATACAGAGTACATAATCTACAACCATTGACCAAATAAATAAATATTTATTTTACACCAATTATTTTAGCACATGTTGCTTATAGTTGTAAACCTGAACACCAGTTGTTATTCAGTAAGTACATGCGTGTGACAGAAAAAGCTGTATATAAAGAGAGGGATAGAAATAAATATGATACTACTATTGTGCTCCATGTAAGTCAATACCTTTCATCAAGCAACGTAATAAAACAGCTGTATTAAAGTCGATGGATTATCAAAAGTTCTTTTACTTTACAAACAAATAAATACTGCGTTTTAGGGCCGGCCCGGTGGAGCACTGGAGAGTGTGCCACTTGGGAGTGCGGAGGCGCTCCCGCCGAGGGTTCGGATCCCATGTGGAGACCGGTTCCCGCTCACTGGCTGAGCGCGGTGCAGGCGCAACACCGAGGGTTGCGATCCCGTTACCGGTCAGTAAAAAAGGAAAAAGAAAAAAACATTGGTATAATTAAGAAAAAGGTGTTTATATTCAACTCTTCAGTACTGTGTCCTTTGTATAAAATACAATTTACCTGAATTTCACTCATATTTTTTTCTTCTCACTCATTTTCACTCTCATCTAAAAACATGTATAAGTCTCCTAATGTCAATCAACGCGTGAATGGCTAAAGAAAACTGGTATGTACACACAATGGAATGCTATTCGGCTATTTCAAAAAATGATATCCTATCATTTGTAGCAACATGGATAGAACTGGAAATGTTAAGTGAAGTAAGTCAGACACCAAAAGACAAACACTGCATGATCTCATTCATATGTGGAATCTAGAAAAAGAAGTGGTTCTCATAGAAGTAAAGGGTAGAATAATGGTTACCAGAGGCCGGGACGGAGAGGGGAGTGGACTACTGGGTACAAAACTACGCGGTCTACCCTAAGTGAGCCATTCTCCGGTATATGCAAGTATCAAAACAACACACTGAGGGCCAGCCCGTGGCTCACTTGGGAGAACACCAAGGCCACGGGTTCGGATCCCATATAGGGATGGCTGGTTAGTTCACTTGGGTGAGCGTGGTGCTGACAACACCAAGTCAAGGATTAAGATCCCCTTACCAGTCATCTTAAAAAAAATAAATAAATAACACACTGTACCCCACAAATATGTACAAATAAATGTTAAAATATTCTGAATTTGAAGAATCCTTTCTTAATTCTACATTCTTTTATGCCTTTTCTTTTGTTTCTTTCACACCTGAGGTTCTTAAAAGAAGAGCTTCTGATAGGTTTCTTTTTAAATTATGGCTATAAATTCATATAAAAGATGCTGTTTCTGTTTTGTATTAGTTGCTAGAAAGCTCTTGGTCAAACTTGGGGCCCATATCTAACAAATATTTGTTCCTCATTGTACGTGTTTTGGGTATGCATGGCCTTTACCATGCTTTATCTCATTTAAAATTTTTTTCATCAGCCTTCATTTTTTTTCTTTAATGCCATATTAGTTTGTGTTTTTGGAAGCTCCATTAAATCCTTTTTGGAACAAATTGGGGATTAAACATACACACACACACACACACACACACACACACACACAAAGTTGGGGTTTTTTGTTTGTTGAAAGTAAGTAAAAGCAGACCCAGTGACTCTTTCATTAGAACAAGATGTCTCAGGCTGTGGCCAGCACACAGGAGAAGCAAGGACATCCCTCTGAGACCCAGTTTGACACTGCAGAGCAGCAGAGGAAGAGTTGATGGGAGAGCTGTGCTGATATACTGACTCCTCCTAGGTGGTCTACTAGGCCAAAGAGAGTGGCACAGGCAGCAAGAAGTGAAGGGGAAGGCAGGCAGCAACAGCCACATCCCAAAACAAGGAGCCCAGAGCTTCATGGGCATTACTCAATATGAACCTTACCAGCTTCTGGAAAAAATAAAAAATCAAAGAGGTGTGTTCCCTGGACAAAAGAATGGAATTGATGAGAGAGTGTCTGAGACAACAGATTAGACGCTGAGGATTTCCCCAGCTCATCCCTGCCCTTTCCCCACAGTATTCTTCAGCAGACAGTTGGCTCCATTCAGGGATGAGAATTTTCAAAAGGGAACAGGCATAAAACCATAAAGACCATAGAACACAAAATAATCTAAGGACTCAGGGCAATTCCAACCAAAATACCAACAAGTTCTTGTATGTGTGTTTGTAAACTGACAAACTGACTCTAAAATCCATATGGAAATGCAAAGGTTCAGTAAGTATTAGACTCACTTAAAAGTTGAAGTAAGAATAAATAAGCGTAGGGCTGGCCGGTTCTCAATCGGTTAGAACTCAGTGTTACAACACCAAGGTCAAGGGTTTGGTCCCCCTACCCACCAGCCACCAAATAAAAACAAAAACTATATGGGAATTACAGAGCAAAACATAAGTTTTATAAATATTGATAACAGTAAAAAAAATGCTAATGATAACAAATACCTTATAAAACAGAGGTGAAGATGTGAGAAAAAGTATAGGTATCCTAATTGCTTCATATTTTATAGCAGGGAGTTAATAGATACTGTAAGGTTAACACATACAGCTTTAAAACGTCAAACATCAAATGCTCAGCTATAGTTTTTCATAATTTTTCACAGTCATTTGTTATTTATTTCAGAGGGCTCTTTAAGAACTAACATCTTTTGTAATAAGATGCAATTGTGAAGTTCTGCAATTCCTTCCATTTCAAAAATGTTTCTTCTGTTAAGTTAAAGTAAAAGTAAATTTAAAACCTATAATTTAAGATAAACAGAAACTCTGCAATGAAAAGAAATGAATCATTGATATATACAACAACACAGAGAAATCTCAAAATTATTATTCTGCATGAAAGAAGCCAGCACAAAAGAGTACTTATTGTATGAGCACTTACATAAAGTCTAGAATATGCAAGTCTCTAGATTTCTAGCAACTCAAAACATTTCAGTGGTTGCCTAGTGCCGGGACTGGAGAGTGGGATGGACTGAGAAGGGGTACTAGCGATTGTTTGGGGTCAGAGAATATTCTGTATATTGATTGTGCTGGTGGTTTCCCAGGTGTATAAAACTGTAAAAACTCATAGAATTGTACACTTTAAAGAGATGCAGTTTGCTGTGAATATAAGATATTTCAATGAAGTTAATTAAAAAACATAACTCTGACTTTAAAAACTAGCTTGGCTAGCCTGATCCCATTTTTCAGAAATTGTGTCCCTCCACACTGCCTGCATATATTCACAGGGTGACTGCAATAACATTCTTCAAATGTTAATGAAATATCCATTTCTGGGTGGTAAGATTTGAAGGGATATTTTTAAAAAATTGTCTTTGAAATTTTCCCTACTGCATAAATTTGTATAGTGGGCATATGCTGCCTGCATATATTCACAGGGTGACTGCAATAACATTCTTCAAATGTTAATGAAATATCCATTTCTGGGTGGTAAGATTCGAAGAGATATTTTTAAAAAATTGTCTTTGAAATTTTCCCTACTGCATAAATTTGTATAGTGGGCATATGTAATTTTTACAAGAACGATTAAGTCATTAATTTATTATTTTTTTTTTTAAATATATTTGTTTATTGTTATGATTTTTTTACATTCTAAGAAGTTGTGGAGCAGATGGCAGGGAGGGGGAGAGGGGACAGGGGAGGGGGATTAAGTCATTAATTTAAAAAATTCATAAGAATGTAATATTCATTTGTTTTCCTGAGCATTGTACTGGAAATATTATGTAGAGACAGGTGCAGCAGCACAAGAGAGGGGGCCTATTTCCCAGCCCCTTCCCAGATGCCCCGACTTGCTCTGCTGATTTCACTTGCTCACAGAAAGAATCTATTTTTGTTCTCTCCTGACTATTAAAATAGCAATAAACAGATGAATTCCATGTAGGACACCAAAACAGGTAGAAATGGCTTTAATTCATTCTGATTGGGGCTCTCAGATGAGTTGAGGCCAGAGAAAGCACGGGCAGTTCTAATCGTCCACGTGGTGCCTGTGACACCCGCATGAGAATATCACCCACATGTTCTCGCCTTGCTGTACACAAGGTATTTAATTTCTTTTTCACTACTTCTTTTTATAAAATGGGACGTGCTGATGGGGTTGGTGTGGAAAAGCATAAGTAAAAATGATCATACGCTTTGTCAAGAGACGTTTTGAATAATAACAGGGTTCTGCTATTTATGCGGAGCAATTTACTTTGTCATTTCTACAACGTGTTCTAGTATTAAAATTTATACTCCTACAGATTTGGATAACAAAGTTTCCACCTGTTTATTCAGGTGAAAGGGTTGATTTCTATCTGGGTTAGAATATAGGCAGTTCTGTTCCTCAAAGCAGTGAGTCCAACTCTACCAACTCTATTGGGAGATAAGAACATTTCACTTCAAAGCCTTACAATATGAGAAACCAAATGTCTGAATAATGCCCACAAATGCCAAATTTCTGGATAAATCCCAAGGATTTCTCTCATTTAGAAAAATTAAAAATTTTAATGTGTTTATTTTCTTTACAGAATAAAAAAGCAAAAGAACTACATTGTCTGCCTAAAATGGAAAAAGAATATCCAATGCTTAAAAATTTCATTGTTTAGCGTTCAGTTTGACTGCTCATAAACAAGCTCTGTGTGACCACATTGCCTAGCGACTCTATCGACAAGGCTTTAAAAGTCTGCAATTAACAGGCTGAATAGTACTGTAGAAAGGTCCTTGAAAAGATGATATGGATTACCGAGATGCAATATTCCTTTTTAGAAAGAATAATAAGTCTTTATATAGCCATCAAAGCCAGTCCAGACGGCAAAGTAAATAACATAAAAAAATTAAGATGGAAAACTGTTACAAACTGTCAAATCCCAGAAGTAAAACCACATAACATGCTAGGAGACTTCCAACAGTAAGCATTTAGATGTTTGGTTGCAGTTTTTAAAATATATTTTCTTTAGTATGTAAATGTATAATTAAGTGACATATTTATTATACTTGACACTTCCTCACTGTGGTAATATATAAACAGCATGATATACAGATAATTCTTACTCAGAAACCAAAGATTGTCCCAACCAGCAAAACAAAGAAAGACTCATAACCGGTTAGGTAATAATTTACTCTTCCCTTCCTGAATTACTTTCAGTTCTACTCCTTCTCTTAATTGTCATAGAACAGATACTGTCTATGCTATGAATTCTGCTGCAGGAAGAGGTTCTGTCTGCACATCAGAATTAATAGAGGTCTGAGTCAAAATGCAGATTCCCAGGTCCCAACTCTGGAGACCCTGGTCAGTAACTGGGAAGCGGGGCCTGGGATCTACACTTTTAATAGCCCGCTCATCCCTGCCCAGTTAACTTGATGATTCTGAAGCCACTGGTCTGGGTATTCATGTCTGAGAACCACCAAATGGAGTCACACCAGGTTAGTGCTTTGCCAAGAGTGCTGCAGGGCTAGAAATGCCACAGCAGGTTTGGGCTGGAATGGGCACCGGGCGCTGCACTGATCACAGACTAATGAAGCCACTCAAGTTGTTTTCTTCTTTTCCCACTTTTCTGCCCAGTCACTCTGCCTTATGAGATTTTCCTGATTGACTTATGTGGACATCTTGGCTTTTCATTACCTAGAGGAATTTAGCATTATCTCTAAAGTTGGACCTATTTCCATATATTCCCTCCCTGAGCCTTTACTAAAAGATTATGACAGAAACTGAGAAAAGCCCCACTCTCCAGAGGCCTTGTGTATCCTAAGGAGCGTGTGATTCTAAACAAGTTCTCTGCCCATGACAAAACTACGTTCCCCTCAGTCTAATAATGACTCATTTTAATCGTTTTTGGCTTGGAACTTTCTTAAGGAAGTGTGATTAGATTACTTGCACAGCACTTCCACATGCCTATATACCCCTTAAATAAAGGTGATGAAGGGAGAAATGGCTACCTCCTATGGAAGCTTACCACACAATATGTGCAAATCCTTGTGAATTTAAGGGGCTCAAAGCCACTTCCCGCATGAAGCCATCTCTGATCCTACCCCTTCTCCCCCACCCCATGGATGTGGTCTCTCCCTCGGGAGCTCTCAGAGCATTACTCAGCACCTCTCTGGTGGCAGCTGTTCCATCCTCTCTTATATCCTGATTCACACCTACCTCCACTACCAAACCTGACTTCTCATAGGTACGGACCATGCCTACAGTGTATGCCCCAGGAATGAATAAGAAAATCCCTGACCCTGCAGCCTCCTTTCCCTTCACATTTGTATATGCTTTAGGGTGCACAGAGCCCTTTCAGGTCCACCATAAGCATCTTCTCCTTCTCCATAGACCCACAGAGATTCTGTGGCTCTCCATGGCTCATTTCTCCTCTGTTTCAGCTACTTCCAACTTGGTGACTCAAAAACTCGTGCACTATGGCAATTTCTATCAACTGCCATAACTCAAGGCTGCCTTCTTTCCAAGCATTTTCTGTGGGTTAGTGCTTTGATCCAGAGTTCATGAGCTGCCCCTGAGAGGAACTCTCATACCTCATCCTGCAGTAGAGTCTTACTGTACTCCAGGTGGTGCCTCTCCAGAATAGAAGACCCATGCAGCCTTGCTAATGGAGATGTGGACCTAGGTGGAAAAGAATATGCCATAATCTTAGCTGTTTAGAGATTACACATATGTCCATACAATACAGAAAGAGTGAAGGCGTATACCAATGAGGCAGAGGCACATTTGGAAATGGAAACAGAAAGGAAAGGGGGATAGAGCAGCTGGCCATGGGGGCTGGAGCTTGGGAGGGAACACAACATGGTCCTGAGGTCCCCAAATGTGGCGAAGAAAGATTGATCAGGCTAAGGGACAGCAAAAGTTTCCTTCTCCCCCTAGGCATCTCCAAACATCCACCAGCCCATGTCAACATTGAGCACGTGTTCACTTACTTCATCTGGTACAAATTGTTGGTGCCTCTGTGGTCAATGTCATGGCAGAAAGCAGCAGCAAGCATGGCAAAGGCTTCAAGATCCGTATAGTATTTCTTTAGTCTTCCTGTCTAAAAATAAAATAAAATAAAATAAAATAAAATAAAATATATATATATATACTTACTTGGGTTACTGTACCTCTACACCAAGTGCAGCAAGGCCTGTCTGCAATGGAGAAGGGGACCCACCGTGTTTTCAGAACAAGTTGGCTTTATTTCTGTGAGTGTTGTAGCCTTCCGGGCAATTACAAAATCTAGCAGGTGACTGAAATTTCTTTTAAGAAGGCAAGCGTGTGAAGGCCTGAGTGATAACTCAACCAGGTGCCCAGGGATACCCATGTTCCCTGGAGTCATCTGCAGAGTTTTGGGTTTCTGGGATTGTGCCTATGAATTTCAAAATTACTGATCTAAAATGAGGAACCATATCCATTTCTCCCCATGCTCAAGTGGGAAGTTTGCAGATTTACGATGATTTACAGCACTCTGCACCTACCATCAGCAAAGTAAACATGGTCTGGCCCACGTTGAATCCATGCCGCCAGTTGTGGTAAGTGACAGAGCGGTAGCCTTTCCTCACGGTGTACATCCACCTGGTAAGAACCTGTTACCAAAAGAAGACCACACCGTTCAGACTTTGGAATAGAATGCTAAAGGTTAGAAGGTCTGTGACAATCTTATCTAAAAAGATGTGTTGGTCCTGTTTACAGGGTTTAAGCTCATGTATTTACAAAGTTAATAATAATTTAAAATCCAAACTGAGTTAATCTTTTGAGCCACAGAAAGCATCAGTGAAGTACAGCGACAGAATCACACAGTATTTCAAATTAAACACCGTCTGACCTCTACGGGTACTTTGAATTTCTCCACCACATTTATTTCAAAAAACAGTCGTAGTCCACATTTAATCAATTCGTGCTCTGTACTGGGGAAGTCACTGAAGCGGAATTCATACAGTTCTGCTGCCTTTGGGTCTGGCAAGTCCTCTTTCTGTTGAAACAAAGACATATTATTTCAGATTACATTCATATTTTTCCCTTTATGCTCACATATCCAATATTGGGTATAAAACAAAAAAATATGATAAAAGAATACCACATGCAATTCACTGAGCCATTGTGTGCCTGGCACTGGGTTATGCAGTTTGCATAGATTATCCTCACAACAAACCTACACAATTATCCCCTTTTTACAGGTGGTGACACTGAGACTCTGCTATATTTTAAAAACTTTCTAACTGACAGGACTTAATTCCAAATACAACTCTAGTGACTGTTCTCTTTCTACGATGCAAAATAAAAACAAACCTACACAATTATCCCCTTTTTACAGGTGGTGACACTGAGACTCTGCTATATTTTAAAAACTTTCTAAGTGACAGGACTTAATTCCAAATACAACTCTAGTGACTGTTCTCTTTCTACGATGCAAAATAAAATGTTTAGTTTCAGCAGCTTTGCCTATTTTCAAAACTCAACTTCTCTTTTTTTCTATTCAAGATATATCCAGTAAACAGAGGTGATTGCTCACTTCTATTCTCAGTGACAGTTTCCCAGTAGACTGTGAACTCCTCAGGGGCAGGGATCATGCTCTTATTTGCTGCCATTTCCCAGAACCTACAGTGCCTGTCCCACGAAGGTGCCCAAGAAATGTTTGTTGAATGAATAAATGAATGAATGCCCCACAGTGTACAGGTCTACTTGCAGACAATTCATTTAACCCACATCTCATTAGGATTCAAGAGTATGTGAAAAAACAGTGAATTGGGCACATAAGCATTGACATGACCTGGGAAATAAAAATATGGATCTTGCTTCTTAAGGAACTTAATTTATTGAAATGGTTATAAAACACAGACCAATGAAAGGTGAGAGCTTAGAATAATCAGATGGCATAGTAGTGCTCGGTACTGTGGGAAAAACTGAATGTCAGAGGACAGGCTGGGGGGATTAAATGAGGAGAGATTCTGGAGGAGTGTGTATTCAGCTGAGTTGGTAGAAGGAAGGGAGGCGACGATTCTGTAGGGAGAGAGAAAACGCCAAGAGGCAGGAATTAACAACGGCTATGTGGGCTATGTGGGTCTACCAGATGGCCCTGCGGGAGCAATTCAGTTCAATGGGTACTTAGTGAGTGTGTCTTCAAGACTGTGCTGAGGAGGACACAAAAGGAGAGAAAGGCAGGTCACGTCCCTCAGCAAGTTTAAGGTTTTTCGGGAGAAAGTTCACACTCTATTTATACAAATTTCAACCCTAAATCATCTATGGCTGTTTTTAAGCAAAATCATGTTTCTGGTCCCCTAGCTCTGAGGCCAGGCTGGCTTCTCTTGCCCCTCTCCTCACTCGGATTCCAGTGTCCCCTGCAGTCGCTGCTCACCACTGCCACTCTCAGACTGGTCACTTCAGTCAGAGATGTGTTCTCCTGCAGAGCAATGGCTTGGAGTCAGGAGACTGGTGTTCACTCCTGGGTTCTGATTACATACACCTATACACCGGAACAAGCCTCAGTGTTCTCATCTGTGAAATGGGATGGTAATAACAACATTTTTGTCTTTGCTGTTTTAACTAAAAAGCAATCTCAATTTCATTTACATCTGTAAAAGAAAGTGAGAGGAATATTCCATTCATGGCTAGAGCAACACTGCAGAAAACCTCTTCTTTCCCTCCTCCATTTCCTAGTCCCTCTGTTACCCCTCACCTTCACACTCTTTCTCTCTCCAAACCATTCCAGAGTCCCTGCCCAGGTAGGCCCTTCGTTTTTGTTCATTCATTTATTATTTATTCATTCACAAATATTTATTGGTACTTATATGTGCTCTAGGCATTATGGATAAAGCAATGAATGAAGCAGACAGTGACTGAAACATACATTCTAATGGGGCACGACAGACAATAAGCTCATCTTTAAAAATAACAGTAAGAGGACAAGAGAGTTGTGGGGTGGAGGGTGCCCCAGGCCACACAGCTCCCTGCTAGAGGGTGTCTCTGCCCTACAGTTCTCAGAGTGTTGCTTAAAGATAAAATGTGAAAATATTTTTCAATGCATTGCAGAACCAGTCACACTAACATGTAAATGTGCATTTCAGCAGGAAACAAAGTAAGATGTTATCACAATTATGAACCCCAAACCCCAAACGCAGTCACAGGCAAACCAATAAAATAATACTCTAATGCAGAAAGCACAGGTTTTGAAGAACAACAGTAATACAGAGAGACCGGTAACAATAAAGGTTTCCTGCTCGTCTGAGGAGTAGGAATCTAGCTCCCTGGGGCTGACTTGCTGCTCTTTGCAGGGATCACACAGTGGAGGCCTACGGAGAGGAGGAGGAAGCTGCTGATGCCCCACTTGCCTATCAAGTGGCCTACTCCAGGCTTGCTGCCTCCAGCCTGGCTGGCTCCATCTGCTCCCAGAGGGTCCCCATGAACATCTGATCAGGTGACTTTCTGGGTCCCGGGGTGCCTGGCTGGTCATGCATCCTGCCTCTTTGCCAAGCCCAGCAGGCTGCCTTCTCCTCTCCTGAGTCTCCAGCCACACCCAGCTGTCTTTGGTATCCCCAAGGCAACCTGCTACATTGTGTCTGTCCTGTCCTGGCTTCCTGTTCCCATCTCCAGCCATCCCTAATCCCCCATCATCAATCACTGCCTGGCTGATGCCTGCTTTCCCTTCAAGCCTCAGCGCCACAGGTATCAACTCTGTGATTGTATCATCTTCTGAGACTAGAATGACGCCCTAGGTCTTCCCAGGCCCTGGTGCTCATGCTCTGTGAACACGTCCATGCAGGCTGGTGGCATTGCTTGTATTTTTGTCTCCCTAATACCCAGGGGTCTTCTTGAACCAGATCATAATACCTGTTGCCCTCAGCATCAAACACCGTTCCTTATATTACAGTATGTCTCAATAACTACTGAATGAGTGAAAAAGTATTGAATAAAGGATGAGTAAATGAGGCACTTCTCTAGGAAATCCTCTCCAAATCTTCCGTGGTCTGTAAATGTTAGCTGCAGGGCCTCTGTGAGTGACCGAGATGTCCTAGACAGCAGGAGAAAGGTAGGAAGCTGGCTTGTGTCACTCCACTGCCTGAGTCAGTGCATCTGCATCAATACTCCAGTCCTTTCCAGCACAGAGACACAGAGATGCAGGTACCCCTAGAAAAGAGTCCCGGGCCTTCTAGGAACCTAAAATCAAAGTGCACACCTGGAGAAAGAATCAGGGCAAGTGGAGATGGACAAAAAATTATGGGAAATGATACCAGGATAATTTTGGAGAACTCCTCTGAAATATGTATTTGTTTAAGTTCCTAAGTTTTATGCAGCAATGATTTGACATTACCCCAGAGTAGGTTTTACATTGAAAATAGGCTGTTTTGGGTAAGTCTATTGGTTCTTTGCCCATTTTACTGCTTCTGCAACATAAGGTCTTTTCTTCTTTAAATACAGACATAGAGAATTTCTAGTGTCATGGACGTCAACTAAAGTTTTCTTCTACAAAAAGATGCATATCGTTGAAGGCAGGTGAGGAGAAGGAAGGATCGTCTTCTGGGCCAGGTGTGCAAGGATGGTGTCCAGAGGAGGAGCCAAGGAAAGTGGGAGGAAGGAGAGGCTCAGGTGACCTGAAAACGTGGAGGGTGGGAACTGAGCCCTCAAAAAAAGGGTCAGAGGTCAACAGCTCTATGGAAGGACAGAGCCCATGAAAGATGGGAAGGGGGAAGGTGAAACAGTCAACGTGTCTTAGTTTAGAAAGAACACTTACACCACAGATCGTAAAGGGGCAGTAGAAAACAGAGTGCAGCCATCAGTGAGGGGGTTAAATGGGATGTTATTTCAATTTCAATCAGATGGAATTCAAGGTCTGGGGGTCTTGGTAAATATCCCAGGATCTCATGGGCTCCCAGAAGAGTCACATGCTAGAAATAGGGTTCCACCCTAGCAGTAAGAGCAGACTGAAAAAGACTGTCCCTAACAAAATCTAAAACCAACTCTCTTCACCTGCCAGCAGAAAATCTAACCCTCTTTGCAGAACAATAATACCACTCAGAGCCCCTACAAGTTTTTATCCACAATATCTGGTTTTTAATTAAAATACCATAAAGCATGCCTTAAAACAGGATCAAATAATTGAAACCTAAGTATAAAAAAAGATAGTAGAGCCAGACCTATAGGCGATTCAGGTATTGAGATGGTTACTTTAAAATAATTATGACAAATAAATTTTTAACAATAGAAGATAGTCAGAATAGATTTTAAAAATGAAAAGTTTTAACAGAGTTGGAGCCTTAAAGAAAGAATTAAATGTACATTCTAGATCTGAAAAAGAGAATTTCTGAAATTAGGAACTTATTGAGTGGGTTTAACAGTAGACTGGACACAACCAAAGCCGTGATATCCCCAGATAATGTGCCTGAAGTCCCTTCGCAGTAGGACAGTGCAGTGGTGATTCTCAGCGATCTGTGTGCACTGAACTGTAGGGGACAAAGATGGAGAAAAGCAGGGAATCAGAAGATCAGTCTCTAGAATAAATCTCCTTTCTTTTTAGCCATGAAAGGTGTCAGGGAAGAGGAAACTCATTTACTTGAAAAATGAGAAAGCACGTCCTAATATATTTTATGAAAAAGGCATTCAGGATAGAAGGAAAACACTTACCAAAATTTTGACAAGTTGTTTTTCTTCACAGTCTTCAATTGTATCTACATTTAACTTCTCTTTAAATTTCTAAAATGTAAAAGCAAATTGAGATGTGAAATTCCTAGGAAGATTTGATTCCTCTGCTATTAAAATCAGGTAAGATATACTTAAAACATGCTCAGATGACTTCTATGACAAAGAGACATTCTAGACACAAAGAAAACCTACAGCACCTGATTATGAAGATTTTTACCCAGGAAACAATCTTATATAATAATTTCTCTATTCCTCAAAAATGTAACAGTAGCTGTCTTAAAAAAGAAGAGCTGTGGGTTGTTTGTATGTAGGTGAGAATGAAAGAGAAAAATGAGCAACTTACATCTGCTTTTCTATTAGCTTATAGCAATTTCCCTTTATTCTTCCTCTAGACCTTCTCATCTTTAATATCTCAAACTCTTAAATCAAATTCCTCTTAACTCTCAAACTACCCAGCAAAACCAAAAAAACAAAACAGAACAAAAAACCATCCCAGCAAAACTACACCTACACACACACTCTAAAAGCTGGGGAAATAAAAGGAAAAGAGATGGTGAGCATGTGACATTTCCCCTTCCCGTCGTGGTGATTAGAACACTGTCAACTAGAATCCATTTGCTCCCGCATCATCGTGATGTTGGTCTTGGTCATGTGACTTGCTTTGGCCAGTGAGAATTTTAGTGAATGCGATGTGGGCAAAGGCTTGAGGTATGCTGGCACAGTTGTGCTTGTTCTTTGGTGCTTCCGGAATCACTGTGAGAACAACATCAATCAGGTAGCTGCTGGTCCAGAAAGGATGAGGGACACATAGAGCAAACCAAAACCACAGCCAAGTCCAGCCAAGTTCAGTCAAAGCCTGGTCAACCCACAAATGCACGAGTGAGAGACAGATGCTTATTACCGCATGCCACTGACATGTGCTGGTGCAGCATTAGATGGCAATAGCTGACTGATACATTTCTCTTCCTGGAAATATTTTTATCCTGATAACACACTTGAGTGTAGATGTCACTGCTTCAGCTCCTACAGACCCAAGAGCTATTTCTAACAAAGTGCTATTCCAACCATGCAGCCTATACACCCACTTAGGGCTTGTGTCACGGGGCCATTAAGGTCCTCCTCAAGCCCCTCCCTCTCCATGTCCCCTTCATTAGTCCAGAACTAAGCCTATTCTCATTTGTCAGACCCCTGGGTAATTAGGTGATTTCCAGAAGCTATATACCACCTAATGTCCACAGGACATAATGTCCTCACTTACCAAAATAGACTTAATCTCATCAGGAGTGGCTTTGGTGTGGTTCATGAGCATTTCCTGAGCAATGTCCTTTCTGTTTTCTAGCTTATTCATTTTCTCATAGGTGTCAGTATTTAAAAGCGACCATCCAAGAAATTGTGTGAGAGTCTGAAATGTATAAGAGATGATTCAGATTCTCTAAAGTTAAAGAAAAATTGATTGGAGGCCACCATCTGCATGCATTCCTTCAGTCAGCCTCCCATTCACCATCGACAACCCAGTTCCTTACTTTAATCTAAGAAAAGATGTACTAAAATAATCAGCCCCAGACAATAAAATTGGCTAAGCCCTCGCTTTTCAAAGTGCACTATGCACCATGAATACTTTATTAGAGAAGAGAGATTGCAAATACCACTAGAATAAAGCAGGACCTAAAAAGTAGAGGGCTGGGGAGGAGAACAAGGATGAGAGGGAACAGAAGGGACAAGAGGTAGAAATCTTTCCCATTTTCCTAGCATTGTAAAGAATTTTGGTTAAGCTAAAATTTTATACTTTGGTTTAAAAAAATGTTGCAATTCATAAGTCAGGAAACAGAAATGACATAACAATAATTGATTATGATCATGTGTGACTCGTGTCTTAATTGCCCTTCAAAATACCATTCCAGAATCATAGATAAGTATGCATCCATATTCCCTTATTTAGCAAGTTTCATTTACTTCCATTAATTTATTATTGCACTTACCTCAGTAATGTATTCATCATGTTCATCAAAAGGTTTTCCATCCTTCCTGTTGTAAAACGTAGCTACTCCTACAATGTCTTCTTTCTTGTTGACAATAGGCAGGGACAAGACATTTTTAATGACCCAGCCAGTTTCATCTACAGGTCCTTTCTACAAACAATAAGGGAACTTTGGTTACTTTTAAAACCTTTTTACTTTGAAATGATTATAGATTTAGAGGATGTTGCAAAAGAAATGTAGAAAGAGCTTCCATGTACCCTTCACCCAGTTTCCCCCAGAGTAACTATTGTCGTGTAACACATGCAACAGTTGTGTAACAGTATGTAGCTAAGGCAAAGGCAACCAAGCACTCAACACACCACATTAGAATTTGTTCTTTAAGCCTCCCCTTGGCTTATTTCGTCACCCTGAGAGGTCCATGTTAAGTTTTGGTCCATGTTAAGTTTCTCCTAGGAAGCCTTCTCCAACTTTTCTAATCTATATGTAACTTTTCTTTTTTTGAATTCCAACATCCCTTATAGCCTGGACCACACAATTTAGCATTTAAATATTTCCTAAGTGCTTAGAATTGTTGATTTTTGTCTCTGAAAATAATTTTAAACTTACCAAAGAGCAGGGATAATTTCATTTATACTTTGGTTTAAAAAAATGTTGCAATTCATAAGTCAGGAAACAGAAATGACATAACAATAATTGATTATGATCATGTGTGACTCGTGTCTTAATTGCCCTTCAAAATACCATTCCAGAATCATAGATAAGTATGCATCCATATTCCCTTATTTAGCAAGTTTCATTTACTTCCATTAATTTATTATTGCACTTACCTCAGTAATGTATTCATCATGTTCATCAAAAGGTTTTCCATCCTTCCTGTTGTAAAACGTAGCTACTCCTACAATGTCTTCTTTCTTGTTGACAATAGGCAGGGACAAGACATTTTTAATGACCCAGCCAGTTTCATCTACAGGTCCTTTCTACAAACAATAAGGGAACTTTGGTTACTTTTAAAACCTTTTTACTTTGAAATGATTATAGATTTAGAGGATGTTGCAAAAGAAATGTAGAAAGAGCTTCCATGTACCCTTCACCCAGTTTCCCCCAGAGTAACTATTGTCGTGTAACACATGCAACAGTTGTGTAACAGTATGTAGCTAAGGCAAAGGCAACCAAGCACTCAACACACCACATTAGAATTTGTTCTTTAAGCCTCCCCTTGGCTTATTTCGTCACCCTGAGAGGTCCATGTTAAGTTTTGGTCCATGTTAAGTTTCTCCTAGGAAGCCTTCTCCAACTTTTCTAATCTATATGTAACTTTTCTTTTTTTGAATTCCAACATCCCTTATAGCCTGGACCACACAATTTAGCATTTAAATATTTCCTAAGTGCTTAGAATTGTTGATTTTTGTCTCTGAAAATAATTTTAAACTTACCAAAGAGCAGGGATAATTTCATAAACTGTTAAATTTCACCTAAGCAATGAAACAGTGCTGAGCATATCATGGTACTCAATAAACAATTGTTTATTATGTAAACAAGTAAGTCAAGTAACTTGTTTCTTACTTATTCCCAGTCTTTATAGTTGGAATGAAAAGCAGAGAATCCAAACCTGAATTTATGTGTCCCAATGGTCAAAGCCTTAGAAAAAAGATACAGCCCACAGTGTTCTCAAACACCATCACACAGATTAGGGAAAAAATCAACAGCAAGAAATATGCGTGCAAAATAACTTCACAACTATAAGTACTAATGTATATTTCTTTACAGCTTCCAAACTAAGCTTTACTGACTGCTTCTCAGTATTTTAGAAAATATTCATTTGCCGCCTATTTATATTAATGCATTTTGCCATTAATTAGAGCTTGTTGACAGAAATGTGATAAAAGAACCTAAGATTTAAGAAAAATTAATAGGACAAAAACCTAAAACTGAGAAAAATCTGTGTACCTTTTCCCCTGTGAATTAGGATCACTTTAATTAATATTAAATAACCCCCACTTTATTAGTCCACTTTAAAGAACATTGTGGTAGGCAGAACAATGCCCCTCCTCCCAGATGTCCCCATCCTAATCCCTGGAACCTATAAATACTTACATATTATCTTACAAGTCAAAAGGGAATTAAAGGTGCAGATGGAGTTAAGGTTGCTAATCAGCTGACTTTAACATAGTGAAGTTATCCTGGATTTTCCAGGTGGACTCCATGTAATTACAAAGATCCTTAAAGTTAGGAAAGAGGTTGGAGTCAGAATCAGAGAAGGAGACATGAAAACAGAAGCAAGGTTAAGAGTAATATAATTGCTGGCTTTGAAGATGGAAGGGGCCATAAGCCCAGGAATGTGGGCAGCATCTAGAAGCTGGAAAAGGCAAGGAGATGGATTCTCTCCCTAGAGCCACCAGAAAAACACACAGTCCTGCCAACACCTAGATTTTAGCCTAATAGCACCCATTTTAGAATTCTGACTTCCATAACAGTAAGATAATACATTTGTATTGTTTTAAGTCACCAAGCAGCGATAGGAAACTAACACATCATGCCCCCAAGGAATGCGTCTGAGAAGCTGCTGCCTTTGCAGCCTTTCTCTGGCAGAAGCTCATTTTAAATCATTGGCTTTTCCCTCAAACTTCTCGGGTGCAGAAGGGAATTGGGAGAACATGAGCAGGTAGAGAGAAAATGGAAGGTGGTGGTCTAGGGAGGCAGGCACCCTATCCTGAGTCTGCTCTGTGGATGAAACCCAGGCAGTGCTTGTGAGGGAAAATGGAGGGAGCCTTAGGGGCTGAGAGAGTCATGGGCTCGAGATGCAGTCCTGACCCGGGCTAAGGACAGAGGGAGGATAGAAGGTTGGCTGGAAACACCTTAGACACGATGCAGGTCTAGACAGTTTGCAGGGCTGCTAGGGATGCCTAGGGAGAAAGTTGACAGTCAGAGGCATCTAGCTGTCTCTCAGGAATGGGCCTGCTTTAGTGTCCCTGATGCAGGTCTAGACAGTTTGCAGGGCTGCTAGGGATGCCTAGGGCGAAAGTTGACAGTCAGAGGCATCTAGCTGTCTCTCAGGAATGGGCCTGCTTTAGTGTCCCTGCCACACTAAGTTACCGGCTGTGAGTGGCCATGGAGAGTGTGGCCGTAGTACAAATGTGACCATGGGTTTCTGAGCACATCAGCCACTGGGTGGTTACATTTCCTGCAGCTGGAGATCTGAGAAGCCACATCTTCATGGGCAACACACTGACGTTTCCTGGAGAACTGGGAAATCCCTATGGACTTGAGGTTTATCCCATAGTGGGGACTCCCCAAGGCCCCAGGGGTCCCTGGCCTCTTCTCTGCCAAGGTGATCAGAGAACTTGTGTGGCTACTCCTGCAGTGACCACAGCATGGCACAAGAGAAAGCCCGATCCCTCAAACTTCAGAGAGCAGCCGTGGTTCTCCTGGACTAGCTCTGTTCCCACTCCCTATTTCCACAGTGACCTCTTGAGGTTCAGTCACTTTAGAAAAATCATTGTTCCCCTTTTCCTGCCTGTGCCTTCTTTCCTGACANCCACAAATGCACGAGTGAGAGACAGATGCTTATTACCGCATGCCACTGACATGTGCTGGTGCTGGTGCAGCATTAGATGGCAATAGCTGACTGATACATTTCTCTTCCTGGAAATATTTTTATCCTGATAACACACTTGAGTGTAGATGTCACTGCTTCAGCTCCTACAGACCCAAGAGCTATTTCTAACAAAGTGCTATTCCAACCATGCAGCCTATACACCCACTTAGGGCTTGTGTCACGGGGCCATTAAGGTCCTCCTCAAGCCCCTCCCTCTCCATGTCCCCTTCATTAGTCCAGAACTAAGCCTATTCTCATTTGTCAGACCCCTGGGTAATTAGGTGATTTCCAGAAGCTATATACCACCTAATGTCCACAGGACATAATGTCCTCACTTACCAAAATAGACTTAATCTCATCAGGAGTGGCTTTGGTGTGGTTCATGAGCATTTCCTGAGCAATGTCCTTTCTGTTTTCTAGCTTATTCATTTTCTCATAGGTGTCAGTATTTAAAAGCGACCATCCAAGAAATTGTGTGAGAGTCTGAAATGTATAAGAGATGATTCAGATTCTCTAAAGTTAAAGAAAAATTGATTGGAGGCCACCATCTGCATGCATTCCTTCAGTCAGCCTCCCATTCACCATCGACAACCCAGTTCCTTACTTTAATCTAAGAAAAGATGTACTAAAATAATCAGCCCCAGACAATAAAATTGGCTAAGCCCTCGCTTTTCAAAGTGCACTATGCACCATGAATACTTTATTAGAGAAGAGAGATTGCAAATACCACTAGAATAAAGCAGGACCTAAAAAGTAGAGGGCTGGGGAGGAGAACAAGGATGAGAGGGAACAGAAGGGACAAGAGGCAGAAAGAGGTAGAAATCTTTCCCATTTTCCTAGCATTGTAAAGAATTTTGGTTAAGCTAAAATTTTATACTTTGGTTTAAAAAAATGTTGCAATTCATAAGTCAGGAAACAGAAATGACATAACAATAATTGATTATGATCATGTGTGACTCGTGTCTTAATTGCCCTTCAAAATACCATTCCAGAATCATAGATAAGTATGCATCCATATTCCCTTATTTAGCAAGTTTCATTTACTTCCATTAATTTATTATTGCACTTACCTCAGTAATGTATTCATCATGTTCATCAAAAGGTTTTCCATCCTTCCTGTTGTAAAACGTAGCTACTCCTACAATGTCTTCTTTCTTGTTGACAATAGGCAGGGACAAGACATTTTTAATGACCCAGCCAGTTTCATCTACAGGTCCTTTCTACAAACAATAAGGGAACTTTGGTTACTTTTAAAACCTTTTTACTTTGAAATGATTATAGATTTAGAGGATGTTGCAAAAGAAATGTAGAAAGAGCTTCCATGTACCCTTCACCCAGTTTCCCCCAGAGTAACTATTGTCGTGTAACACATGCAACAGTTGTGTAACAGTATGTAGCTAAGGCAAAGGCAACCAAGCACTCAACACACCACATTAGAATTTGTTCTTTAAGCCTCCCCTTGGCTTATTTCGTCACCCTGAGAGGTCCATGTTAAGTTTTGGTCCATGTTAAGTTTCTCCTAGGAAGCCTTCTCCAACTTTTCTAATCTATATGTAACTTTTCTTTTTTTGAATTCCAACATCCCTTATAGCCTGGACCACACAATTTAGCATTTAAATATTTCCTAAGTGCTTAGAATTGTTGATTTTTGTCTCTGAAAATAATTTTAAACTTACCAAAGAGCAGGGATAATTTCATAAACTGTTAAATTTCACCTAAGCAATGAAACAGTGCTGAGCATATCATGGTACTCAATAAACAATTGTTTATTATGTAAACAAGTAAGTCAAGTAACTTGTTTCTTACTTATTCCCAGTCTTTATAGTTGGAATGAAAAGCAGAGAATCCAAACCTGAATTTATGTGTCCCAATGGTCAAAGCCTTAGAAAAAAGATACAGCCCACAGTGTTCTCAAACACCATCACACAGATTAGGGAAAAAATCAACAGCAAGAAATATGCGTGCAAAATAACTTCACAACTATAAGTACTAATGTATATTTCTTTACAGCTTCCAAACTAAGCTTTACTGACTGCTTCTCAGTATTTTAGAAAATATTCATTTGCCGCCTATTTATATTAATGCATTTTGCCATTAATTAGAGCTTGTTGACAGAAATGTGATAAAAGAACCTAAGATTTAAGAAAAATTAATAGGACAAAAACCTAAAACTGAGAAAAATCTGTGTACCTTTTCCCCTGTGAATTAGGATCACTTTAATTAATATTAAATAACCCCCACTTTATTAGTCCACTTTAAAGAACATTGTGGTAGGCAGAACAATGCCCCTCCTCCCAGATGTCCCCATCCTAATCCCTGGAACCTATAAATACTTACATATTATCTTACAAGTCAAAAGGGAATTAAAGGTGCAGATGGAGTTAAGGTTGCTAATCAGCTGACTTTAACATAGTGAAGTTATCCTGGATTTTCCAGGTGGACTCCATGTAATTACAAAGATCCTTAAAGTTAGGAAAGAGGTTGGAGTCAGAATCAGAGAAGGAGACATGAAAACAGAAGCAAGGTTAAGAGTAATATAATTGCTGGCTTTGAAGATGGAAGGGGCCATAAGCCCAGGAATGTGGGCAGCATCTAGAAGCTGGAAAAGGCAAGGAGATGGATTCTCTCCCTAGAGCCACCAGAAAAACACACAGTCCTGCCAACACCTAGATTTTAGCCTAATAGCACCCATTTTAGAATTCTGACTTCCATAACAGTAAGATAATACATTTGTATTGTTTTAAGTCACCAAGCAGCGATAGGAAACTAACACATCATGCCCCCAAGGAATGCGTCTGAGAAGCTGCTGCCTTTGCAGCCTTTCTCTGGCAGAAGCTCATTTTAAATCATTGGCTTTTCCCTCAAACTTCTCGGGTGCAGAAGGGAATTGGGAGAACATGAGCAGGTAGAGAGAAAATGGAAGGTGGTGGTCTAGGGAGGCAGGCACCCTATCCTGAGTCTGCTCTGTGGATGAAACCCAGGCAGTGCTTGTGAGGGAAAATGGAGGGAGCCTTAGGGGCTGAGAGAGTCATGGGCTCGAGATGCAGTCCTGACCCGGGCTAAGGACAGAGGGAGGATAGAAGGTTGGCTGGAAACACCTTAGACACGGTGCAGGTCTAGACAGTTTGCAGGGCTGCTAGGGATGCCTAGGGAGAAAGTTGACAGTCAGAGGCATCTAGCTGTCTCTCAGGAATGGGCCTGCTTTAGTGTCCCTGCCACACTCAGTTACCGGCTGTGAGTGGCCATGGAGAGTGTGGCCGTAGTACAAATGTGACCATGGGTTTCTGAGCACATCAGCCACTGGGTGGTTACATTTCCTGCAGCTGGAGATCTGAGAAGCCACATCTTCATGGGCAACACACTGACGTTTCCTGGAGAACTGGGAAATCCCTATGGACTTGAGGTTTATCCCATAGTGGGGACTCCCCAAGGCCCCAGAGGTCCCTGGCCTCTTCTCTGCCAAGGTGATCAGAGAACTTGTGTGGCTACTCCTGCAGTGACCACAGCATGGCACAAGAGAAAGCCCGATCCCTCAAACTTCAGAGAGCAGCCGTGGTTCTCCTGGACTAGCTCTGTTCCCACTCCCTATTTCCACAGTGACCTCTTGAGGTTCAGTCACTTTAGAAAAATCATTGTTCCCCTTTTCCTGCCTGTGCCTTCTTTCCTGGCATCCAATTGCTTGGATCTGGCAACACGGGGGTCAGGGCTGGACACAGCATGGTCACTGTAGGCTTCAAGTGCAAGGAGGAAGGAGCTGGAGCAAATGCAACCAGACTGTGTTTGCACATTTCCATGCCAGCAGGCAAAGTGACATGCAGGCAGGTGTATGCAGCTGAGCCAGTGGCACGGGCCTCCCTGGGCATGGTTTGCTCTAATGCTGGGGATGCACCGCTCACACCCCGGGAGGCCAGCTTTGCCATCCAGGAATAGAAGGGGCTCTGTGTGTATGACAGAAAGAAAGACACTAACTGTGCCTGCCAGGGAGGGCAATCTCTATTCCTGACCAGGCTTAGAGCTCGCACCAGACATTTGTTAAACACAGGACACAGAACAACAACTGCCAGAAGGCAGAAGAGAAGAAACTGCAGAACCAAATGCCAGTTTATCTCCAAGGGTCAGGTGAAAGGGAGTGACAGAGATGACAGGTGGGGATGACAGGTGGGGAGGGTGTGACATGTGAATGGAGGTGGCAGAGGTGACAGGTGAGGAAAGAGGTGGCAGAGGTGACGTGTGTGGGAGGAGGTGGCAGAGACAAAAGGATGGCTCTTCCAGTGGACTAGATGCACTTGGGAAAGGAAGGGATGAGCCCCCAAGTCTTGTCGCCAGGTCCAAGCAGAAAGCCGTGAGGGAGGGGAGAAGCAGGCTGGCTAGGTCAGCATATGGAGGGCTGGCACAGGGGCTTTGGTGGCAAGTGGAGGTGGATTCTGCAGGAGGTGGGTCTCTGCATGCTGGAGACGAAGGGTAAAGCCATGTCTAACAGCACAGGAGGCTCCAAGGACCTTTAAGATTTAACAGTTGCAATAAGCTGCAGGGAAGGGCCGCTGAGAAAGCTACCTCCAGGGCTGGATTCAGGCCACAGGATGTATCCAGCCAGTCATTCATGCAAAGAACATTTACTGAGCACCAGTGGTGTGCCAGGCACTGCTGTTGTCACTAGATGACCAGGAGTGGGAAAGAGTGGAGGAGTGGCAGGGCCCCCTGTCCTCTTCTCTCTGATACTTCTTTTCCTCCCCATCCTCTTCTCCTTCACTGAAGAATATGCTATTCGGTGGCCACTGGCCCAGCCAGGATGAGTGGGACATGGGCCCTGCGTGTGTCTGCCAGGCACACCTGAGCATAAGGCAGACCCTGGGGATGGGGGCAGGGGAAAGCATCCACCCTCCACCCCAGCCCTGAGAGGTGAGGCCCGGCCAAGGGCGCAGTTACCTGAAATGTGAAGTATTCGTCTGCAGGGGCATTCAGCATGTTACAAATCTGCAAAGCAAGAGGAGACAAAAGTCCTGAAACACGTGTGGTGGAACCACTGAAGCCCGCAGAGCTGAATAAGAAAGCAGGCGTCAGGAGTGAGAGGTTCTAACATAGCTCTTGGCTGCTTGCAGGCAAACTGTTCACACTGGGCCTGCCAGGCCATACTGGCTAACAACCCATTGAAGTTGGCTTCTCTTCTGCTAATTAAGTCATCAGATGACATTTGGCACCATTTCTGCTCCTTCCTACTCTCCCAGCCTCTAAGGAATCCCCTTCAAATTCAGAGCAGCTGGCTGTTCAGCAAGAACAGGAGACAGCTGAGCAGAAAAGCCGAGGAGCAGGAGCAGGAGCAGGCGTGAGCAGCAACGCTGGGGCTGCTGGCTTTCTTTTTCTTCCTAAAATGGGATCCAGGCTAGAGGAAGGTGGCTAAGGGGCAGGAGGAAAAGCCCAAATAGCCTTTCAGTTGCTCCAAAGTAAAGATTCACTGTGAGACATCACCTAATTGCTGGAATTCAGAGACTATTGCTGACATCCATAAGGACAGGGAATCATTGCATTTTTAGTCATGTTGAATAACATATACCTTGGGTCATATCCACAAATGGGTCTTAATAAAAGACCATACTTTTCTTCACACTAAAGTTATGTTAGATACTTAAAATCACAGCATTTTAAAGCTAGAAGGAATCTTAGTGATTTAAAGCTAGAAGGGACCTCGAGGTTTCACTTTATTATTATTTTTTTGATTGAAACATAATTGATTATATATATTTGTGGGGTGTAGAGTTGAATATCAGTATATGTGTACAATATGTGATGATCCAATCAGGACAACTAGTATACTCATCTTTACAAAACATAATCATTCTTTGTGACCCTTAACCAATTTCTTGCTAACCCTGCTCCCCCTTTCCAACTTCTAGTAACCACAGTTCTGTTCTCTCCTTTTGAAATTTCAACGTACTATTGTGACCTTTCTTTCTTAGCTCCCACTTACGAGTGAGGACATGTGATATTTCTCTTTCTGTGCCTGACTTATTCCACTTCCTTTTAAAGTTGAAGAAATGGGAGCCCAAAGAGGTTAAGTGATTTGTTCAAATTCATAAGATGAAATCAGAACTGTGATCTCCAGAGAGGGTGCTGGCGAAATCAACTCTCCTGGCCAGGGGTTGGGGAAAACCCTGATTTATATCAGTTGCCAATTTCCATGGTGTAAATATTCCCACCATGGGGAGTTTCAAGCTGCCAACAGCTTAACAACCTGCTCATGAAATTTTGGAAAATCTAACAATCTCGAGGGGAAGGTCTGAGTAGGTTCCCCACTCACCATACCAAACCCTGCCAGCCCCTCAGCCCCAAGATAAGTGTTTTCTAAGAGTATTTGAACCACATCAACTATTTTTGTAGTACTTTTATGAAGAAAATGTGAAAATCTTTCGAAGTTTTTATAAGCAAATATAGCCTAAGAATTTAAGGAATCTTTTGTGCCATCCATTAATTTTATGATCTAACTTGAATGTATTACATTACTCGAAAGGCTGAGCATCCTTCAAGTTTTGAAGAGGCAAAAAGCAGATTATGTCCACTTTTCTGGACATCCCATCAGCAAAATTTGTTTTAGTCCATACTTTGGGGAAAGGGACTTGAGAACTAGTCTGTCTGCTTTATGGAGAAGATGGAGAACTTGAGGCCTGGGCAAATACTCCAGAGAACATTTACAGATGGGTCAGGATCCTAGAGGCCCAGGCTTTCAACTCCATGTTCACCTCTCCCTCTCTGTGTCTCCCTTTCATACTTCCAAAACTTGACCAAGGTACTTGAGATAGAACTAAACCTAGCATGAACCATAGCTGTTGACTTGCAAAGGACATCTTTGTGTGGCTGAACAGTCAGAAGTTGAGGGATGGATGAATCCTTTTCACATTGACTAAATATTTTCATGTCGAATTTAGACGTTTCCAGTTAACCTACATTCTACTGACAAGATTCTCCTCTCCTATGTCCTGTGCCAAAGGAAGTGGTCGTCTCACCCTCACCTGGTGTGTGCTGCTCGCTTTCACAATTGTATCTATCCCTTAGCTAATAAGAGTTTCATGCAATATTATTGAAAATTAGAATTTGTTCCATAACTTACAAATCCATTTTCAGCAACATACGTTGGCAACCCACTGACGAGTGTCCAGTGATCTGCAGGAGGTGTCCTTGGGGAAGATTAGAAGACAGAAAGTCATTGCTACATGGAGAAATGCAGCCTGTGCAAAAACGAAATGGCAGCTCCCATGGCTGCTGCATGACAGTACTCACGGGATCACTTTGATCTCTTCTTTTCCGTGTAAAATGTAATCAATGACTTTATAAAAGACAACTTCCTAAGAGAGAAGTGGTAGATTATGAGAATAACATTATTTCTGAAAGAAAACATTTTTCACTAAAGAACTTATACTCTAAACACTTATAAACAGTACTTTATTCCCCCAACCTCATTTTTCTTATTATATAAATCATCAAACTACTCCTCATATCCTGTTTACAGGCTTGTTATAAAACAAGAAATATTATTGACTATTAACCTACATGCCCAAAGCTGAACAAACTTTATTTTAAAAAAAGTTGAATTCACCCAAACAGCTTTTGTGGGGTATCTTTAGCTCACACATCATCAGCTGGTCTGTTTGTTTTTACTTTTAACTGATCCCTTTTTGTTGTCCAGAAATACTTCACGTTAATAACGTCATCGGAACCAATCATGTGCATTGTTCCCATCTGCACCTAACCCCCTCCTGCACTGGCTTATCTGTCCAGGGACCTCAGAAACAGGATTTGGTGGATATGTTGTCAAAGCTGGAAGGGACTTGAGAACTAGTCTGTCTATTTTATGGGGCATCGAAGAAACCAAGGCCTGGGCACATTTCATCCCATTGATTTCTCTATCCTGGGTGCTGGGGATACAGTGGTGAATAAAACAATAACAGTTCCGGCCCTCATGAAGCTTGCAGTCAAGGGGGAAAGTCAATCAGACTCAAGCCTTTCCTGGAGATTGCAGTCCAGCAGGTCTGAAGAAGGACCGGACACTGGTGTGTTTAAAGCTGTGCAGGTGGCTCTGCTGTATCCCTGCCTGTTGCAAACCACTGATCTACCAAGCTCTGGCTTTACAGAAAAGGAAACAGAGGTTACATGAGAGTGAAAGCAAGCCCAGCTGGCTCAGGGCGGAGCTGGAGACTTGGACCTCAAACTCCTTGTCCTGTGCTCTTTCTACTACTCCAGCGTCCCACAGAAAGTGACAGGACTAGACCCCAGAACTTCCCAGGCCAGGGCTTTTTCCTCAATGCTCTGCAGCCTCTGTGTTTTAGCACCTGATACAGGCATGGATAGCAAGGAAGATGTTCACACTTACCCTGCCATCTGGTGTCTTTGGGCCTCTATAAGGCTCGACTTCTCCAAGCTTGACCGGCCACTCATCATAGAATTCCTGGAGGCAATTATATTTGGACATTATTAAACTGTTCCATGCCCTGCCATATCTTATGCAAATTTTTTGTGTTTGTGTATTTTATGTTAATCTATATAGTTCTGCAATTTTAGTGCAGAAAAGATCTATAATTTCCAGCAATATTGCTTATGAATTTGTGACTGTGAATAAATCACTTAACTTTTTACATCTGTCAAATGGGGGTAATAACAGAATTTATACTAGAGGGTTGTTGTGAAGATTAAATGAATAATACATACCAAACACCCATCCTGGTGCACAGTTCAAAGTACTCAATCTGTAACAGTTCTTTTATAGACAGCTAAACTAAATTCAAGTAGGTTAAGAGGCTTGGCCAAGGTCACAGAGAGTGAGTGGTCAACGGTGCTGGTTGCCTTACCCAACATCCATTTTCTCCCTCTTCTTGCTAACAGAGCCTGAGTTAATTTGGGTGTCAGGTAGTAATTTGTTCAGGAAGATGGGCCCTGCATAGCCCACGAGTGGTTTATCTGAGGTGCCCGAATTAGTTTGAGGACAGGTTGAGGACAGGCATGAGGCCCAGATCTGAACAATGAAGGGGAAGTCTGCTGAAGGGCTTCTGGGGAAAGGCGGTCCTCGGATGAATGGCAATGAAAGTGACATTTGGAAGAAATGCCTCACAATTTTGTCATGTCTATGTGCCATGCTTTGAGCTACAATAGCCATCTTGGCACAAAAGAGGAGACCTCACCAACACGCTGCAGGTAGCAGAGACCTTGCCAGGAAAAAATGGAAAGCCCCTGAGATTTTGATGACTGTACTGAGTTCTGAATGAACTGGACCTAGAAATGCCTGACCTTGGGACTCCTTGTTAAATGAGATAGGAACCATCATATTGTTAAAGATGCTCTTAGCTAGCCCTGATGGTCCTTGCAGATGAAAGCATTCTAACCAATGTACTCAGCTAAAAAGTTCCAGAGCCAGGATCGGAACCCAGCTCTCCTGACATTTGGTCCTATGTGTATCCACTTAGAACAATCACTCTGAAAAAATAACTTCCAATCACATGGATAGTAAGAAATTATTAAACTAAGAAAACGCCAACAGAATTAACCAAGATGTGAAATGAACATTATATTGTGATTCATATTAAATATTTCATTATTTCTACTTTGAAATAATTAAAAACATTTTAGAATACAAAACCTCGGGCTGGCCCCGTAGCTCACTCATGAGAGTGTGGTGCTGATAGCACAGAGGCTGCGGGTTCGGATCCTATATAGGGATGGCCGGTGCGCTCACTGGTACGGACAACACTGTGCAAAGGGTTGCAATCCCCTTACCGGTCAAAAAAAAAAAAGAATACAATACCTCAAGTTGGTAATGATAATATAATTTATTATGCACCTGTGATGTGCTAGCCACTTTATATATATGAAGGTGCTTCAAAAAGTTCATGGAAAGATTCATATTAACTTTGAATTTTATTTTGCCACAAACTTTTTGAAATACCCTCATGTATTATCTCTAATCCTCACTAATAAGAGAGATGTCCTCATTTTACAGATGAGGAAACCAAGAATCATGGAGGTTAAAAGGCTTGCTGAGAAGAACAAAGTCAGAGAACTGACACTACCTGACTTCTAGGCTTACTATAAAGCTGCAGTAATTAAGACAGTGTGGTATTGGTGAAAGAACAGACAAAGAAATCAGTGGAATAAAATAGATCCACACAAATAGAATTCACTGATCTTTGGTAAATGAGTAAAGACAATGAAGAAAGTATAGTCTTTTCAACAAATTGTGCTGAAACTAAACATCCACATGGAAAAAAAGTGAATCTAGACACAGACCTTGTACTTTTCACACACACACATACACACACACACACACAAAACCTCAAAATGGACAAGACCTAAATGTAAAACACAAAACCATAAAAATGCTAGAAAATAACATAGGAGAAAATCTAGGTGAAATTGAGTTTGGCAAAACTTTTTAGATACAACACCAAAAGCACAATCCGAAAAGAAAGAATATTTAAAAATTTGACTTGTTGAAACTTAAAACTTCTATTTTGCAAAAGACACTGTTAGGAGAATGAAAAGATAAGCCACAGACTGTAAGAAAATATTTTCAAAACACATTTGATAAAAGACTTGTACCCAAAATATACAAATAACCATTTGAAAGATAAGAAAATAACCCAATTAAAAAGTGGGCAAAAGATCTGAACAGACAGCTCACTAAAGGAGATATGCAAATAG